TATATATATATATATATATGTATATATATGTGTGTATGTATGTATGTATGTATGTGTGTGTGTATAAGTGTGTGTGTATATATGTATGTATGTATGTATGTATATATGTATGTATATATATATATACTTCAACTTCTATTTAGTATTTGGATCTATTTAATTGGCTCATAATCATGTTCATACGCTACATTATTCCCCAACTGTGTTTCCATAGATTGTGGTGCAACATCATTACCTATACCGCTGGTTGCCGGAGGTACTTCATATCTTGTATTACCATCTGGAATTTCATCATAATCATGAGGGGTATTATCACTCCTGTGCAAGTCCATACCGTTAGATTGTTTGATAATCGTTGACAAATAGGTTGGTACATTTATTGATGTTACATAATCATTCATTTCCGTTGGTGCTTCCATTCTGATATTAACAAAATGTGATCTAAATTAAAAAAACAAAAAACAAGTCATTTCATGTCAACAGAGCTTAGATATTTTTACTCTTGCAAATTAAATTTATAAGTTTAAAACATATAACTATTTATATAGCATTCCACAATACGGTATAAAATTTCACTTTACATATACTGAATCGTGATTAACAAATTATCTCTACGGGAATCCTAACTTGTCTTCATATAATGAGGGAGAGAATATTTATGTCTTTTATACATAGAATCATTTTTTTATACAAGAAAAGTTGGTTTAAATGGCCTGGTTGTTGATCGACGCCATAAAGCGTGGAACTCAGAGTAATATTTTTTATGATAAAGGTGTGTCGCCCATTGAAGTTAAAATGCATTACCAGCAAAATCTCGTGAATAAATATTATCTAAAGTTAGTCACAGCATGGAGGTATTATTGAGGAGATTCATAATAATACTTCCATGGTCACTGCAGTTTCCAATGTCTTTCTTTTTTTTTTTTACATCTAGTGCATCCTTCATGCATAAGTTTTTGTCATAAATTATGGTATTATGTGCGATATTACATGAGTAAATGTATTACATTTATTCAGAATTTTCACAACAATTTACATATTACATTGTTAACATAGGCATCAAAGGAATAAAAAACACTAAATATACAAAACATACAAACACGGAATACCAGGAAACACAACAAAATTTTAATTTAATTTGGGGTCGCCCAAAACCCCCCCCCGGCACCTTACGGAAGGGAAAATGTCCCAATAAGCATCATGCAACAGTAATAATACTGTACACCATCAGACACCCCCCGACAGTGTACTACCCCGAAAGGTGCCAGCGATCATGGGCGACTCTCAAGATATAAATTTATTAAATTGTTAATTAATTTTATTAATTTATACATCTATAACATAATCCAAACAAATACCATTATAAATGTATATCGTTCTTGTGTGTAGGATATTGGCAGTTTAGAATATAAACTAATCATTTAATAAAGCATATTGTAACTATTACATTTTATTATTATTATTATTATTATTATTATTATTATTATTATTATTATTATTATCGAGTAGGGTCTACCTGCAAAAGAAGATAAATAACGGCGACATGATGAAAATGAAGACACAGAGAATATACACAGCTATCAGGTAGTCAGGTACTGATGATGATGCATTAACGTCACCAGATGATGATGCGTTAACGACACCTGTATTACATTTAAAAGTAAATGACAAATTTATTTGAAAAAAATAATGTAAACAAGCACTTGTTTTAAAATGTTGTAATACATAGTTATTTTACATGTGACTTTACTGATGTTATAATAATTAGCTACTGCTATTGTGGAAATTTATAAAAAGAAAGTCGACAATGTGACTGAACAGTATATGGCTTTCAGAAAAAAAACCACTATACTGTGACTTTGTAATTTGAACGACATTATTGTTATTTAAATTAATGGTATCATACTCTCGTATTGTATTACAAAAGATTGCTGATGTCCAGCTGAATTTACCCGGGGTTTCGTAAGATTCCATGCATTTTAGAAGCAAACCCAGAACATAATGCATTTGGTCATGTGTTAGGGGTGGAAGGGGACACAAAGTGTATCCTCTGCTACAAATGAAACAGCGCTGATGGTGAAGAATGCAACAGAGCATTTTAAATAGAAATTTTTACAAACAATTAAAAACACCTTAAATTTCATGTCTCATTTCTTACATGGCCGGGTTCTACAAATCATACGCTTAAACAACAACAAGCATAATTAACGTATCATTAAGTTAGAATTTATTGAAGATGTAGATCCTCAAGCGATAATTTGTGACCACAAACTGATGAAGAATTATGTAATGCATTTTAAAAATTTAAAAGTGATGCATTACCTATGACTTCTAAGTTGAAAGAACATGAGCTGTTGATGTTTCCTGAACTGTCCTTAACAGTGACTGATACAAGGTGGTTTCCCATTGCTAACAAATCCCCTTGCTGAATATTTGTTGTAATATATGGAGGCACACCTGAGTTATCTGTTGCAGCAGGAGAATTCCAGACTGCAACAGCGGTATTGTTTGCCTTGTCTGCCAAAAGATATGCATCTAATGGGCAAAATGTGATTATTGGCGCCTCATTATCTGCAAGAAAAATGATGTATTGTGATCAGGCCAACAATTTGAAGACTCTAAAAATGGTGGCTTTTTTAATGGGCATAAACTACTTGGAAAGAGTAATTTTAAGCTCTAACAGTTTGAAATCATTAGGCAGACGGTTACTTCTGATGAGGTGAGTGTAAGAGAGAGACTAGACAAAGTGAAACAATTTCCGGTCGACTAAATTGTCACAATGGATGGAAAACACAATATTACAGTGTTAAATATACACTAAATTCAAAAACATAAGAATTATCCTATATTGTCTGAATAATAATTATACACAGTAGTAAAAAAGCTAACACCCTAACGATTTCACAATATGTTCCCAAATAGCCTGCACCACATACGCATGTACAGTAATAGCTGTCGATGTCATCAACACACAATTTTGACACGATGTATTGTCACACGGCCAAACCAAAACGAATGTTTGATATTTTTAATTGATTTTTCAGAAGAAACCCAATTACAAACTGAGGCCTGTAATAACATAGAATCCTCAATCATTTCATTCTCCCATTTGGAAAACTTGTTCATAGTGTACAGTCAATACTAAAAATATTAAAGTAAATAAATAAATATTGATATACTGAAAACACTTCTCAAGCACACAATTCAAACTTGCGTTTATGTATGCAGTAGGGACAACTATTTTACATACAAACTGCTGTCCTTGAGAATGTGATCACTTCACTAATGTATTCTCATAATTTCTTACCCTCTCAATAAAACTATAGACAGATTTTCTAATGAATTTGCCAGAACTGGGAAGAGAGTTGGAAATATTTCACAGCACTGCATGCTCTAGGTTTGTTCAACAATAACCGCAACGCATTGAATGTTGTAGCACAATTTAAGTGAATTAAACGATTTACATGTGTATTTGCACCATAAATTGACACAGTAAAAATTAATACTGTAGGCATTACGAAAAGGAGTCTTCAGAACATTCTTCTAATACACGATCTATATTGACGAGGAATATCTTCATTATCGTTTAGACTAGAAGCTATGATATGACCAAGATATGTGAATTTGTTAAATCTGATCCTGTATAGTAGTAGGCTTACAAACTTTTCCTAGTAGCAAGCCCTAGCATACTAACGTAAGGATCTTGAAATAGAAGGGAGCTGATGTGGTGGGAAGGTAAAGTGGGGATCGGTAATTAGGTGAGGGGGCTAACTCGCAAAATAATGTGATTTGAGGTGAATTTTAACTACTTGAGCATGATGTGTGGGCGGTGGATGGGCGAGTATTTTTTTTCAGGGGGAGGGGTGTGCGCAACCCTCGCACATTCTAAATATGCCAATACATAGCATATACTGCAATTTACCCTACGGTCTAGAGCAGCGTTATCTGAGGGCTTGAAGCCAGAGCCAGGAGTGGGTGTACCCTCCTCCCAAAACGAGATTTAAAAAAAAAAAAAAATTAGAGCTTTATAGCCGGAAATTGCTGGGATAGGAAAACTAGGCCTTTTTTTTCCCCGGTCCAACTGCCCGACGAGCTTTGGCCGAAGAGGGGGGCCTTAAGCCCCCTGCCCCCATCCTGGCGCCGCCACTGACTACACTGGCACCGCACTTGCCGAGAATTTTAAGTTGATTATAAATATTCATGACCGAACTCAGTGTAGTGCGACAGCTAATGAGTTTACATTATACAAGAGGCGATTGGGACCGTGGAATTAGAGACTACCAAGACTTGAGGGACACCAGATTTAACTCGGAACCAACTACAGACTTTCCCCTGTATGAATACACGTTGAAAACGTTAGAGTTGTAGCAATTAAATAAAAATAATGGATGTCGGAATATCATTGGTCCAAGGCATGCCGAATTTATACATGCAGTTCCAAGACTAAACGTTATAAAGTGAAAGAGGCTGATGATCGCGCCGCGCCAGAAAAAATATGCTCCATAGGAAATTATTTCATATTGACCCGTTTTCGTACGTCAAACGTGGAAATCTATCAAATGCTCTGCAAAAGAATGTTCCAAGCCCGTTTTCTTAAGTTATTAATTTGAAAGATCATAATTGGCGACTTGAATGAGGCTCAGGAAATTATAGAAAAGAATGTCCATGTAAACCACACCCTAAAATAAGGCAGATGTTTTGTTGGCCCGTATAACCAGTCTTTGTTAATAAATTTATCATCATTATGATCGAAATACTCAGAAGATCCATACGTTGATATTCTCTCTAATGCAACACTGTTTATTAAAAGCCTAGCTAGAAGGGTCACCCTCTATAAAGATTGTTTAAATTTTAAAAAATCTATATATATTAATAAATTGACTGGAAAAATGCATTTTTTACCCTTGGCCCTATTTGTCTGGCATAATCTTACCCCTATGACTATTGGTTAAGAAAATTGGTTTAAGTCTGAAATTGTGGAGAACGTAACTATTTATATTTGTATGTACAAAATAATTTATCAAAAATTTACAAGAAATAACCTTTTCGGCATTGACCCTTGTTACTAAGCATACTGGTATATCCATACTTCAATTGAGCCCCAAATTTTGCAGGGCATACATTATTTATAATTGGTTTAAATTATAAATGATACAAAAATAACTGGAAATGCCATGACCTTCGAAATTTGTATACCATGCTTGAATTCAGCAAAAAACCAAGTGTAATGGATTTATAGACGAAACGGTCTAAGAAATAAAACGGGTTGTGGCATCAGACCTTAGATGGTATCGTGTGTGATGGTAAAACGCAGGTGTCAAAAAGCAATGGTGGTAAAAGCCAGATGCAAAATGTCTGGTCTGGTGATAAAAAGGGTAACAACATTTTTATTGTAGTGTTGTTGTAAAGATGAAGGTGATTTTACCATTTGTTGAACATATTCCATCGGTGATCATGATGTCATCTAAAGCAATATCACCAGAAAAACTACTTCCTACAATGCCTTCAAAGATTATCTTGAAGGTACTGTTTATTTCAACTGAGATTTGTCCAAGTCGCCAAAGGTTCCCTTGGTTGTTTCTATTTGTCCACGCAATTGTGCCAACAGTACTTGTTGTATTGACTATGTACACATTCAGTGTATTCACTGTTTCCCCGTACATGTGGTAGTACCACTGGATGCATGTGCCGTTCGTTGCTGGATAAAAAGTAGTCCAAATGCGAGCAGTGTCATTGAGGTTTTGACCTGAAGCTTCTATGTATATGTAAAAACCTGTAAGCAAATGATCAAATAAATTTTTCGATTTTCAAAGACATTGATTTACATCGTGAGTGGATTTCTCGTACGATTAAAAATCGTAACGGTACTGGGTTTGGTCTACAGGAGTTCGTGCTTCGAACAGGTCATTCCATTAATTCCATTCCATTCCATTCCATAGAAGAAGCCTTTTGATGGAGAAAGTGTACCTTTGTAGCAAAGGTTTGCCTAGGTCGAAACTAACTCCGGCTATATAAAATTGATTATAAGATAGTAAAATATTAATCTTGTTATTGTACTACTAGGCCTAGTAGTAGTGATAGATACTATGTACACGTTTAATTATTGTTATTTATTCGTTATGTCATTATATATACATTTAAAATTAATGTATTGTTTAAGTATGAATTATTTGTTCGTGTAAAAAATAATCTTATCAATTAAATGCTATTATTGCATTACGTTTTTGTAAACAATTTTGGGCACTAATCGTCAGAGGTCTCGGTGCCGCAGCCTACACTTTTCATAATTCGAAATCGAATCGGACCTTAAGTGATTTCCAAAATCTCTTTATATGAAATAAAGAATAATTATAAAATAATAACGGTTAAAAATCGTAACGGTACTGGGTTTGGTCTACAGGAGTTCGTGCTTCGAACAGGTCATTCCATTCATAGAAGAAGCCTTTCGATGGAGAAAGTGTAACTTTTTAGCAAAGGTTTGCCTAGGTCGAAACTAAATGAAAAATGTGAACTTTGTGTTACCTTCTAATGTTCCGTATGTGTGGTCATACGCAGGGCCAGTACCATGTGTGGGTGTTGATCCAGATGTTCTTATCCAATCAAAATCATCATATTCATCTTGTTCAAAGTAACAGATGTATGGATCTTCGAAATCACATTGGTTTTGTGCTGAAACAAAAATCCCAAGACAAAATTAATTAACTGATTGTAATTGCATTGGTTAAAACAGTTACGGTACTGGAAACCAGTACCAAGTACAATAATTCGTAACTTTGTTAGAAAAACATCTTATCATCATAAATTTGCAAGAATTTTAATAATTAAAAAAAAAACACACATTCCAAATTTCATTCGCATAAAGTTAAACTGGTATCCACAACACATTGTTCCATAATGTTAATGGTATATTACCAAAAACATTTTTGTTTTGAAACTTTAAATATTACATTACTTAATTAGCTTCTTAAAAATTGTATTATTGGTTCATTCAATTTTCTCGTTTGAACTAAAGACGACACCTAAATACCTTAAAGATTTACAATTTCAATTACACTTTATTTTTAATTCCATTATATTATTTAAATACCTTCTTTTCTCGCTACAATAATATTATTATTTTTCCATTTTTTTACAACACATAGCCAAAGCTTTTAAGGTCAATGAACCATGTCATTGAATAATGCAAGTTTACTTATGTAAAGTTAAAATGGTTAGATAACAAATCCCCCTTTCGAATGTTGTCTCTATACTATTTTTCGTTTAATAATAATAATAATAATAATAATAATAATAATAATAATAATAATAATAATAATAATAATAATAATAATAATAAATTTTTATAGCACAAATAAACGAGGTGTCTATGCGCCCAACAATATTGTGGAAAAGAAACAATAAAAAAAGAAAAAAAAAATCAATAAACACCTAGCTAGCACCCAAACCGAAGTATGGGGTTATACCATCACCGGCATCTGGAGATCTGTGTTTATGTACTCCAGTTAGCATCGGTTAAGTCTTCATTTTTTCTTGGATCATTAGTAAAATAAATAATGGATGAAGAAGAGATATATACATTATCTCAGTTGCAAACTGAAACTTAGTACTGATAGTGACATTAATTTTTTAATATTCATTCTATTAGCCTACATTTATGCATAATATTTACAATCTTTTCAGAAACTGATCATGTTCTGCACATTAGGTTTACTATTATATTTAGCTCAATACGTAATGCACATTATTTATCGCTGTAAAAACTTACATATATTGTAAGTTGGCCCAAAAAAACCAGACATGCACTGATAGTTCTCGATTCCGTAATCCGAGACACAGACTCCGCCGTTCAAGCATTCAATATCGCATGTTTTTTCAATTAGAAATTGAATATTAATTAGTGAAATACTTTGTTCGTATTAGAATAACCTCATCACTCATCACAATACTAATTGTATAAAATTATTATTATGAAAATCGCATTTGTCTTTATAATACATTGATTGATATACATTGATTATGTAAGCAAAATAAAAATAAAAATTATTAAACATGAAATAAAATACAGTAAGATTTATATAAGGTCCTATATAATTTAAACAATTGTGGAATAGAAAACTGATGTAGGAATATAATAGTAGTTCTATATGTATATGTTTAAATTATATAACGCATGATATGATGACTATTAAATACAGTTTAGAAATCATGAAACATAATATAATGTCCATACGTAGAAATAATATATATTTATATAGCATATATAATTAGATATTTTATTCATAGTGAATTGTTGTGTATGAAGGCTATATACAGTATGTATATATATGTGTATATATATATATATGTGTGTGTATATATATATATATATATGTGTATATATATATATATATACATATATATGTATCTATACATATACATATACATATTGTTGCATGTAACAATATGTATATTGTTACATATGTAACAATATACATATTGTTACATGCAAAGCACAGAGAATAGGAAACACAATAGCTTAGTATTATATACAATATGTACATTTATTAATAAAAACATAGATACATTATTATAAAAGAGAACAAAAATGATGGCGGTAAAACACAATACTTTAAGATGCTCGAAAACTTCAGAATTAGCTGAGCCCACGGCTAAGTAAGTTGGATCAAAGACTGGTGTCCGAGATCGGCAAGGTCTATAAATAAACTTAATGAACTACGGCAGACTGCAGACTTTTAATAAAGTTGATGATAACTTTAGAACTTTTGGACTAACTAAATGATAGGATTGTACCGCATTTTATACATTTATGAACATGATATGTGGGGGAGATTATTATGACATCACCACATGAATTTGGGAATGACATCATCTCCTTAAGGATGAAGATGACATCACACAACTCAGATTCAACAGTCCCTTAACCTTATTAGGAATATTACCCAACAGGTGATTCGGACAACAAAATTTATGAAGGGCACTTTAAGACGAACTTTGTACATGCACTCTACAAATGGTTAATACAGTCTAAACTATTACAAAGCATATAGTAAAAATAATATAACAGTAGTCAACATTGAAATAAATGTATT